AAGATTTTGTAAGATCTTACAAGATCATATGAATTCTTGTCATAAGGTCTTACAAGACCTTGTCACTTCTCATAACCAGATCTTGAGGGATCTTATAACAAGAAGTTACAAGATTCCATAAGATCTTGTATGATCATATCGTAAGATCTTATTACAAGATTTCACAAGAAAACATCAGATCTTGCAAGGTCTTACAAGACGTATTTCACCTGGGTTGTTATAACAGAAATAAAATGTTTCACTCTTTAAAAAGTTTGAAGAGAAGAGTCTCTGTAAATATGCATATTTAAAGAATACGTTAACGTCATTTGTCAACCAGAGTATGGCCACAACTAATCTATTAATACATTTCATTTGTTTATCGATCAAGTTGATAGAATTGTGCAGTAACGAAATCTGCGAGTACACGATTTACTGTCCGTTGATTGATTGCTACTTTAATTAGCTTTCTTTCACAGAAAAGACAATTTCCAAGCAGAACAAGCATTCATCAATAAGGGAACGATGAATCAAAGTTTTAATTGGGAAAGAAATTTTAATAATGTCCGCTGAATTTGTTGAATCTACACATGGCAAAAGACAACTATGTTACCTCGGTCATCGATATTCTCTCAAACGTAAAAATCAAAATGGTTCAGAATATTGGGTATGCGTGAAGTGTAACGCTACGGCAACAAGTTAGTCGGACTCGTCGTTCGTAGTGTGTAACGATCATAGACATTTACCTGATGGAACTGATATGGAAATATTACAGATTAGAAAAACTTTAAAACGTGAAGTTATTGAAGAATCTGGCCCAATATATCGTATAGTGGAAGAAGCATGTTGCGCTGCTAATATATTTTTTTTCTCATAATACACTGGTCGGCGCAATGAATATTCAGTTGCTCATTCATTGCTTTTCGTCCAAATAAGCAGTGAAAAGTAAATCCTTATATAAGAAAGTGGTTAATTGGGATATATTTCTATGTAATCACCGGAAAGTAAATCCTCGATAGCAAAAATTATACTCTTCTATGAAAGAAAGCTAATTAAAATAGAAATTAATCAACGGACAGTAAATCGTATAAACCCAAAATCTGATTTGATTAAACAATTATTTTTTACTGTCTAGTGAACCAATCGATGTGATTCATCGCTTTTTTTTTTGTCACAACATAGTTTACAATATAATTTTTGATGCTGATTATGAATCTGATATTGGTTTGTCACCATAGACCTTTCTTGAATAAGTCTGTCAATAGTGAATTTCCACTGGACCATCATAAGATTTCAATCGAACACATTCTGATACGTCCACGTTGTAGAGCACATCTAGTTACTCATGAAGAAGAGTTTTTAGTACTAACAAATCAGTTTTCTCGGGTTGTAGAAGTTTCATTGAAATAGAAGCTTCGCATTAAATTAAGACGTCAATTTGCTTAACGTTATTTCAAAGAAGTCAATTTTTTTTTTGTTTAGTGGCAAATAAAATCTGACTAAGAACTTTTAAATATAATTAGTCACATTTTTCAATTGCTTTAATTCACTCATAAATCTCTAGAATAAGATTCCATCGTCATTAATATTTAAATTATCGCATATGATAATATGTGGTAATGCTTTTTCTTAAGAAGAATCTTCCACATTGCTTGTCTTGTTACAAAATCGTAGACACAAGCTAGGAATTGTAAATATGAACAAATCGACAATCAGGAAGATGAACGGCTCCACTTCCATTATTCATGGTAAACTAGAAATTATGTTCATGTTAAATTTGCTTATATATTCTTTAATTTAAAAGCCAACTAAGAAAACACAAACACCAAAAAAAGATTCCAACTATGCATGAGTAAAAAGCCGATGAACAGATATTTTTGTTTTAAATACAGGATAAAAAATACGAACGTAACAACATAAAACTTAACAGTCCCAAAAGGAAAATGAATTTATTCATTTTTTCGAATATACACACAAACTGTTTGTCTACGAAATACAAAATTGTTGTAGTTGAAACTCAGATCTTTAAATGATAAGAAGTAAGATGTACAATCACTTTTTCGAAAAAAAGAAATATTTATTTTATAAATAAACAAAAAGAAAAAAAATCTGACCAATAAAATAGAAAATATAAGAAAATTTGTTGAATCGAGAGATCGAATATATGTCGGAGATTTGCATTTATTTAAATAATCCATTACTTGTTTCGTCTATGTAAAACAATGCTTACTGAAAACAAGACAAATATGAAATAAAAATGAGACATTCGCGACAGATTACACTATTACCTACCGATTATGATAATAATTACAATGGCTACCGTTGAACCAATACATATATTTGTCTAAATGAGACATAACTATAGTAACTAAAGTCAGATTTATATATCTTATTACTTTAGCATTTTTCCACCACATTTTTCGCGATAATTGTTTTGTTGTCTGATTATATGTATCAGCCGTTGTATGAAGTTCATCAGCTCTTGTCATTAAATTATTCAATGCAACATCACGATCAAGCAATTTATCGATATTCTTTTTCATAACACCAACAACTTCTTGAACTTGTCCGTGAAGTCTAAAGAATAAATTCATTATAACTTTATCAATCGCCTCATTTATCCTATACTCACTTTTTAATACCATTATCGTTTCCAGTACCAGTACGCGAACCACTAGAATAAAAAACAATACAGATATATCAGCAACACGACGTTATCGTTTTTTTAAAAGATATGTATTTTCAATAAAGCGGTAAAACAGAGTAGCACCATTCGTCTCATCGTTTCGATATATCCTGCGATAGTCTTCATCGAGAGTCAACTACTTGTTCACTCCACTAATTTCTAAAAATTCTTGAAAACTCTTAAGTGTTGCTCTTTCTGAGCGATCTTATTATTCTCCAAACTAATCGAAGTCACGAAGAGTATGGGTTTACATACTTTCCCAATTCTAAATTGAGTGCATCATCATCATCATCGCGAATCGGAGACTGAAAAATAAAAGACAATTAAACATAGAATTAATCCTATTATTATTATTATACTAATTCATACGTATGATTGTGGTCTTGTATAACCTGCAGCCATTAAAGAAATTGTTTTTTATTCTTGTATTTAATTTGTAATATTTCGAAGATGATGACAAACAGCTTATTGTATGATTTGCTTGTGAAAAATTAAAAAAGTAACAATTAATCTAAAAACATTATGTACATATTAATTATAGATATGACATTCATATGATTCTATATTTTTATAAACATTCGCCGAAAAAATCCCGAATAATATTTCTTCGAGCTGCTCCTTCTTTAATGATGTTTATAAAATAAATTCCTGTTCAACATGACTACGCTTACAAATTGTCACAAATCTTTGACAAATAGCTCGAATTTTTTTAGACAGTGAATGAGATGCTCAGGGAGTAGAGAAAAAAAGTTGGTGTAATTAATAACGCATTGACTAATGAGACTATGAATAAACTGCTGATAAACTCGTATTAACCATATTGACCAGTAAGATGTGAGTGTGAAATAATTTACGGACTAACGTTCTAAGATTTTTTGTACAACAATCAAGAATTTAAATATGTGTTTTTTTATTTTTTTATAAAAATGAACATACCAAAAAAAAATTCGGAAATAATAGTGTATTAAATTTGTTTCCATTTGATCGTGACTGTAAAACGTCACTTAAAACAATGCCGATATCTTTTTTTTACATCAGATACACGTAAAGAAAATAACAGAAAACATGCAGAAAGCACAATGCACTTCGCACATATCACAAAATGTTTGCTTGATTATTATGCAAGAAAGCAATTTGTTAAAATCCGCCCATTCCTCCCATACCGCCCATTCCACCCATACCGCCCATACCGCCCATTCCTCCCATTTCACCACCTGTATTCATTTTTTCGCGTGACTCAGTCCAAGCTTTGGCTATCGTTCTTTTCATTTCATCGTCACCATCCTCATACATTTGTTTCATTAGCGACATCATACTGTCTCCTGGATCTTTTTTTTCATCCATTTTCGGCGGTCTGGAAAGAAAAAGTCAAAGAACCTGTAGATTTTTAAAATACGGTGTTGTTTCTAAAACATCCTCTTGAGAACGTTTCCAACCAGTCGTCTTGAACGGTTGAGTGGACATTTCCGTGAAGAAAGTACGATATGAGTGGAGAGATGAATTTTATACAACTGATTTCATACTTTTTATCAACTTTTTTGTCGTCTTGAATAACACATTCCCACTGTTTTGACTCTTTCTTACGAAGCATGATAAGAACTGAATCTTTCTTTACCTAAATATAAATTAAAATATAATTAAGTAACTATCTAACTCGAATATATAAAACAACATACTTTGTATGATGATTCATCCGGTAAAATTTCATTTAATAACTTTTTCAATTTAAATGTATAATTAACATTGTTCAAATTGTTTATTTGTAACTGAAAACCGCTAAAAATGCAAAAGAAAGTCTATTTCTATAAAAACAAATCACAACATTGAACAGTTAAATTTACGACATTTTATAAGTATGAGGAATTAAAGTCCTGTTCAAACATTCAATATAATTACCGCTGTTCAAATGCACACTTTATTTGATCTTCTGCCAAATTTGATACACCATTTAAATTCTGAACATACAATTTCACAAATTTGTCTGTTTGATCCCATGCTATAAGGGAAAACGGCATTAGTTTAATACGCATTACGTCAAATAGAGCGTGTGCATACCATAAAGGGTAATATCTTTGTTATAGGTTCGATTTGTCGAAGATGTTGTTGTCGATGATGGCACTGGAGCTGTTTTCTCGTGTGCTGCATTATTTTGCTGTTGCTGTTGTTTCTCTTTTAAATTGACTAACTCAGTTTGATATTTACGTAACTGAATTTCCAGAAATTGTTTATTACGTGGACGTCCAGATTGTTCCAAAAACTTCTTTACTTCCTCAATATCGAGGTTCAACTAAAAGTACAAAAAACAAACAAACATATAGTGTAGACACATCTCCAGTTAACTTACATCTTGAATCTGTTGGTCCATAGTCATTGTTATTGTTTTCCAGAAAAAATAAACAAAACTAAACGAAACATTCAAGTTGTAGAAAAAGTGCTTGTACTGATTAGCACAGAGGTCATCTGTTTAGAAAAAGTAGTTAGTCTCGGAAAATCCACCGATCAGATTGAACAGAGCATTTCTTAATCTAAGCAAGAAATCTTTCGAACAAAAAACATCGCAGACTGCATCAATTGGATCTGTCTATAGAATGCTTTGTACAATCAATTCATTAGAAATGTTCTCATTCGAGCCCTCTATTACATTGTGTTAGGTTTCATATACATATATAGGTTTCCGGTTGTTCTTAGGGAAGGGGCTAAAAATTTTGCTTCGCAGAAAGTGGGTGGCGAAATAAAGTTTTCAAAATTTTTGGCAGAAAGTTGCTGATGGTAAAACGTCCAAGATTTTACCAGAAAGTTCAAAAGTTTTTTTAGGGGGAGGGGGCGGGGCAGCATACATGCACAATCCTGTGCATACACAAATCCGTAAAAGTTCAAGTCATAATTTTGCTTAACTTCAATTGTTTAATACAGTATTTCAGAAAGGAAACAATTGGTCTATGGACCGGTGAAAAAAAGTCTCTTATTTGCACACTTTTCTTGTGTTGGAAAAACTGAAGTGATTGGATAAAAGTTCTGCGGAATAGAGCTATCAATTGCGTTTTTCCAACGCAAGAAACGTGACGAAATATGAGATTTTTTTTCCCGATCCAGACTAAATTTGAAAAATTATTTTTAATAATTTTAAACTATAGTTCTCGTACAACTAGAGAAAGTTTTATCAATATCTGGCATTAAAATCCTATATTTTTTCCCTCAAAATTAATCTAACTTTATTTTTTAAGAAAAAGTGGTACTACATTATTGCCGACTGATGATATACTACGACTAATTTAATGAACCACATTCACGTGAAGCAGACGACGACAGCTAGTAGCTAGTAGTAGCTAGCTTAGTCTTAGTCTAGTCTTAAAGCAGACGACGACAGCTCTCGTCTCTCCACCTCATTGGCTGTTAACGGCCATTACGTTCGCTTTTTTAATGTCTAATAATTTCATGAGATCGCCAAGGGTATTACAAATGGAGTTAGTTTAGCGGAATGCATTCAATTCGGCTTCATGTGAGGTGTTTCTGGTTACGAAATCATTTTTTTTCTGAAAAAAACTTTCTTGAACTTTCAAGTTTCTGCTGTAATTGCAATGTGAAATTAGAAGAAACAGTCATCAATGCACTTAGAATCCGCAGTCCACCCTCTATCGCATTTCTTATTTCACAGAAACAAATAAAAAATTTATCCCAAATTACTGTGACTGTTGCCATGTAAAACCTCTATGTTATCATAAAAAACAAAAATATTATCGTAAAAAAAAAGTGTGTAGACTTTTCTTTCCGTAAATGCTCATATAATTTCCACTTACAAACCTCTGACTTTCAGGGCAAGACGAATATTGAAATAAAATAATTAGCGTTTTTCTATATCAAAAAGAGCTTACACGTCTTATTTGTTTCGCTATTTCGATTTTTCAGCAATCCTGATAAAGGATTAAGTTAAGCTAGAGAAAAACGCTGGTGGAAGATCGCTACAATCAGCGTAAGTCTCATAAAATTACGCTGATAGTAGCGTTCTCCTCCAGCGTTTCTTAATCCTCGTTTCACCACCTGGGGTCCGAGCGGACCCCAGATCGAATATTATACTTCTTTTTCCTCAAACAGTAACAGATCAATCTGTCACCTTCTAGATATGCACTAACGAAAGTTAGACGAGCATATCGATTATATCAATGTCTTCGATTCTAACAGCGTCAATATGATAAAAGGACTAGAAGTACGCATCAACGTGTTTTCATCATTCGGGGTCCGCTCGAACCCCAGAGAGTAGAACTAATTACACATGTATTATTGTTGAGATATTGTTTCAATTAAGTATTTCATGCCTCACCCAGCTCTAGAGAATATTCTAGAACGTTCTGTCTTATTTTAGAAGTTTCTGAAAGTGAATTGAACTCGACCTTTGTGTCATTATACTACACTGTTCTGGAATATTCCCTATCATTCTAAAATGTATAGTTAAACTATATTGTCATGTTATGCTTTCTATCAGATAGATGAGTGAGCTCCAAAAACTTTAATCAACGTTCTCAGAATCCGTATGCAGTTCAGCGAAACGTTCGACCGGCTATGCAAAAGCTTAGACTTTCAATCGTCAGTCCAATCACTGCTGCATTTGGAGTGAGCGGAAACCAACGATGTCACCTCTGTCCAAGAGTGCGCGATAAAAAAGTTGCTACGCGATGTTCTATCTGTCATTTTCCTTGCTGCCCACATCATCACAAGATCATTTGTAATTCTTGTTTTGAACCGTTTGACGGAGATAAAAAGAAAAAGATGAAATAAAAGTCACAAGATAATAGTACGAAAAGATAGTCTTCTTTAGATTCTATTTCTATAGTCTTCTGCAAAATATCACTCACATTTACTGCACAGGTTGATGGAAAATTTTCCTCTCTATACTTGAAAATTGAACTGGTACCGTACTCGAGAGAAAGTTTAGTAGTCGATAGGTGGTGAAATGAGGGTTAACCCCGATAAAATCATTTTTGGAACGTTTTTTACGTCTGTTGACTTGATGAATTGTTTGTCTTATTGGGATAGTGCTTAGAATGAAGTGTCTCCAATTGAATGTGTTGATGACAATCTATAGACGCGACTCAATGCTCCCAGTTTGCATCGACAACCAAGAGCCATATCTCTGACATGTTCATTCCACCGCAGATCTAGCTAAACGTTCTGAAAATTATGAAATTTGTTGGTAGAGCAGTTGGAAATAAGTATTTGTAAATTGTTCTGAAAATTATTTGCTGAACAGTCAAATATTCCACTCGACACGTCTTGTACATCTCTAGAAAGAAAAAAGAGGTTTATCAGAATATTTATGGTATATTATTAAAGTGTCTAACAATTGCTTCATACTTGCTCTTAATAAATAGTCATCTTAACTATTTATTAAAAGCGATCTGGTAATTCATGGGTAGTATATACACAGGATGCCACATTAACGCACACATAAAACGCAAATGTATTTTAATAAGAATAAAATATATGATTCAATTGATTTTGCATTGTTTATTGTTAGCTTTATCCTCGATTGTGTGTCGAGTATAACAAAAAAATATAAATTCAGACTGTTAGTTTAGATACAAATTTGTTTTCGTTTGGGTTGATATGTATATAATTTAAGATTAGCGATAAGCAATCGTTATAGGCAAAATATATGCAATAAAACCATTCGATCAGATCCATTTAAAGATAGCCAACAACAGAATATACACTGATTGACTTTTAATTGTTTATTTCAACATGTTTGTTTTGATTCAGGTGACTGATTTATAAGTCTATGATAATTCAAGTTCCATAGGTATTTTCCGTCCGTTTCGATGAACTTTATTGAATTCTTGTTTTGTGGTCCTACAACAGGAATCTAAACTACAACTGTTGAACTGTATGCTTCAATCCCAGAAAACTCGTATGTCACCTGAAATAACTTACGGTCAACTATAGAATACTGTAACTTTTATAGCCTAACTCGTTCATAAAAGGTTCGCAGAAAGAAATATAATGAGCGGATAGATGGATTGGACCGTTTCATATATATTGAGAATTCAAGTTTTCGTCTTTCCATGAAAATTGATTAGATTTTATTGTGATTATCAATCAGCATTTTTAATGAATGGTTTCTTGTAAGAAAGAGAAAAAATTGAGAAACATGCGTTTTTTTCAATAGAATCAAATAAATCAATCAATGTTATCTTTTAATAATTCACTGATGATATAATTTTCTTTATTTTGCTAGAATAAATTTCAAGTTAGCATTATGTGTTTAGATTAGAACTATAGATCACTCCGACGATATTCGATTTCAGAAAACCTAATACCAATATCTATCACTACCAGATCTCGTTTTCAAGCCTGTTTCAAGTCGTTTCAAGTCTGTTTTCTCAACGTCTGTGTAACATGGCAAGCCGACCGTAACAATACACCCTGAAATTTTTTCTAAGAAAAGGCTACTGATTTAAAAATAATCACTACACCGTGATTTGTAAATGTGTTCAGCTATGCGTTGATTCTTCATATAATTTATCACAAGCACCCTTTTCCAATGCAAAGTAACCATTATTATCATGACAGATTTATTTCTACCACTAAATAAATTCTAATCATTAGTTTAATCAAGAATCAGAAAAGCATGGTTTGTTGATGTATTAATTAATAGTGTAAAATTCAAATCCCCTCATTATTATTATATATAAGCTGTTTTCAACTCATCGTATTTCTCAACGATAAATCTCTTCAATAGAAACATTTAATTTTCTACGTGGAACAAAAAACACATCATGTCACCAACTGAAATCATTTAACTATAATTTTTAACGAATAACTTTTTTCCTGTCTGGTTTTAAAACAATAGCAATGCACGACCACATTGGATGTGAGGTCTTAACGATAGTGACATTGTTTATCCAGTTTCGTTTTTTCTGAAATAAAAAGTTCCGTATCAGATCGGGTTTATTGACTACAAATTTGTATTTAATATACACAAAAAACATTAAAAAATTAACATATTTTAAAGAGCTGTCCGATAACACATTTCACACTAAAGAATTCAGCACAATATGTAGGCATACTCTTTTCCAAACAGAACATACAACAAAACAAAAAGGATAATTTATGCGTTTTTAACTTCGCAAAAAAGAAAATTTCCTAGAAAAATTGTCCTATCTGTGAAGATTTTAAATTAATAAACATCAGAATCGTATGGAATAATTGCATTTAATCGATAAGGATCGCAATAGCACCGAATTCGATTTGTTGTTGGACTTGCGTCAGCACTAAAAAGCAAGAGTCAAGTAAATGTGTAACATCCTGAGGTTTGGTCGATACAAGACTAGAATCTTCACAAGATCAACTATATCCGATCTCGTCTTCGTAGAATTGCAAGAACATAGAAGAAAGGGTAGAATAAATAAAAATTGCAAAACAACAGCCTTTCTTTGGGTTATATTCCTCTATGGTCGGCAATATGTCGAGCGATGAAACAGATATTTGACAGACATTAAAGTCTTCGACTTACGTGCATATTTTATTACAATGAATTGGAATCTGAACCGATGTTGGCACTCTTGACTTTTCTTCTTTTTCTTCGATCACAATGCAGGGTTCTAAAGTGAGCGGTGATGGTAGAGACATATCAAAACAATTCTTACTTAACGAATGCTCTAATTTTCCTTCTGAATATTGTTGATTAACATCATGACATTGTTGTTCGCCATTAATTGACGAGAACAATTCGCCAACAACAGTGTGTTTGCCATCATTTACATTATCATCACATAACATTTCATTGTCATCATCATCACTATGAAATATTTTTTTCTTTTTGCTAAAAAAAGCTTCATCATCCTTAGAAATAAACAAAAACAAATGAGTTGTCGTTTCTACAAAGCTTTCTTGTTACTGTCGTCAAATACATACACGATGATCCGTATTTAACGGTGTTGAAACAAGAATTTCATTTTCTGAAATAAATTTTCGTTTCCGTTCAGATATTACAAATGGCATATTAGGTTAGTTAAGAGAAGAAAAGTCAAGTTAGAATCTAAAATGAATAATCGAAATATAATTATTTTAAATATATGCATGAAAAAACACAATATATGCAGCTAGGAAAACAGTACAAGATTGATGATCTGAGATAAAGTCTAATTCTGATAATAACGGAAAAAACGACATAGCAAGAATCAAAATAAATATGATGAAAGTTTTAAAATGGATTGAATCTATTATTTGAACAGAACAAACGTAATAAACAAAAAATAACAAGCACAAACAAAAAGCGCGAACATATTTTAAACAAACAAATTTTCTTTTCACGTATCTAAAGAAAAGAAAGAGTAAGTAGCTTGAATGCTACAAGTTAACAGTCAGATATAATATGGACGTAAATAGTAGAGAAATCGAATGTGTTCATTTTCTTGCCTAATTGAAACATGCCAACAAACAAAATTTTTTTTTAAAACAAAAATGACTAGAAACAGCATAATATATCTCGCATAAATACTTAAGCATCTTGCATTTCAATATTATGATTGTCTAATCTTCCAATTTCTTCTTCAAAATTAATCGGTAGTTTGACATCAATGAAGCCAACTAATTCCAATAATGAATAGAGTACAACTTTCGATTGTTTTTGATATGTTAATAATTGATTATTTAACGCAGTTAATTCTGATTTTAAGTGTTCAATATCTGAGTTTAGTGTACGTAATTTATTCTCTGATAGCGAACGTGATGGTAAACGAAGAATAATATTCGCCATTATATCATAATCATACTGATGTCGACGTCGTAATTTAACTTCGTTTAAATATTGTTTACGTTCATTAATAGTTGTACGTAATGATTGAATATCATTAATATTACTAGTTATTTTTTGATCATTATTATCACATTCTTGTTTTAATGTCGAATAATACAATGAATTAGTACGATAATCAAGTTCATATTCGTGTAAATTACGTATTAAATTTTCAAAGGAAGAATTTTGATCCACAGACGAACCATTACAAAATTGATCAAATTGATCATTTAAATGTAATAAAAATAAATCGTTATCCCGTTCTAATGGTGATACATAATCCATGTCTACATTATTCGATGACGTTAAAGAGGATGCTTCATCGATAACTGGACTCATTTGACGGGTCTTTTGTCGTTTTCGTGTAGCCATCTAAAAATAAAATAGAAGTTTATCTTCTTATTAGTATATATCATACGGTAAAAGAAGAAATGAAAAACAAAAGATTATCTAGAAACATTGTACACAGCATCATAACTTAAGCGAAGTCGACTGTTTTCTCTAACATATACTATGATTTTATGGGAAACCCAATAACATTTAAACTAGCAATTTGAAATGAGGAGACTTGGATGTCCGAAAGATGATAAAAGTTAGAAAGAACAATAAAACACAAAAATGAGAAAACAATTTTATTTGAGCAACTTTTTTTCCTGTTGTTTTTTCAAAATATTCACAGCATCAAACGAATTTGTAAGAGGATTTAATCTCTTCATTTTTTTCATATTCATTCTATTTGCATCACTATTAATATCAAATTTTCGTTTGTTATTATTTTTCATCGTTATCGCTGCTGTCGTTGTCGATGTTGTTTGTGGTTCTGTTGTTGTAATTGGTTCATGATCATTTGATTTCTTTTTTAATGCACTAGGTATGAGATAATCGGGTACATGTTTGAGATGCTCTTTAACTTTGACAATATGTAATGCACTATCGTGTCGCAACAACTGTGATTCTTTTTTATTATCATTAAAATAAATTTTTAATTTTTTTGAATTTAATAATTCAGACTTTATTTCTTTTAATCGAGCTTCACGTATTGCCGTTCGTGTTATCGATCGCAATGCATCTGAACCACGATAACGAAAACCATCAACTTGTTCAGCTTTAAAGCGATATAACTTAAATACATCTTCATCATATTCATTCAACAATTGTTCACGTACATCGTCAAAATATATTATTTCATTTTGATTAATCAACGATAATGCCAAACCTTTAAATTAAAATTTATCGAAAAAATAAAAATTTAATCGATCTCTTTAAGAAAAGAAAAGTATACCTTTTTGATCTACTCTTGCTGTGCGACCAACACGATGTACATATGAATCAAGATTGTGTGGAAAATCAAAATTAATTATATTAGCAACACGATAAAAATCAATACCACGTGATACACCATATTCCTTATCTTGTTTACGACCAACATTTTCACTTTTTTCTTTCGTTTTTTCTAAAATATACATACGTAAACAAACTGTATTAGATATAAGGATATTATTTAACTACGTTTAACTTTCGAAACGTAACAACAGTTTCAAAAAAAGATAGAATATTGTATGCTTTATAAGACTGTTTCTAATGAACATCACATGGAATTTTCAAACGAATTTTTAACTTACAGCTACAATTAACTTACTTTTCTTCTTATTGGTTGAAGTCTCTTCTGGCTTTACTTCTTCATTACCATCAGTCGTATCCTTTGGTTCTGTTAGATAATATAATTCATCGGTTGCAATCATAATATCATATAATCCATCATTATCTTTAATAAATAAAAAAATTCATTAAACAGTGAAATTATTCCATAAGTGTTGTCTTAAAACAGAAAAATTAATCACGTTTTTGGTAGTCTTAATCATTTACTGTATTTTTCAATTCACCGATCCTTTTCATTTCTAAAGTTTCAATCAAATGCAAATAACTATTCAATCTTTTTCTCACCAACTTACATTGCTGTACGATATGTAATCTAGAATCCATCGGTAATTCACTATTCAATAGGCAAGTTTTTATATGAAATTGTTCTAGAAATAATTTTAATCGATAACCTTGTTCAACGGTATTAACAAACAGTATCGTTCGTCCATATAATAAATTTAGTTTGAATACGGTAAGAATAATAATAAACTTTTGTTCATTTTCGCAATTGATGTAGTAATGTTGTAATTGTTTACTATCAGGTAATATTGTTGTGTAATCATCATTTTGTTTTAATAACACGGGATTATGTAAAAACAAATTTTTTAATTTTAAAATGTCATTATTTAATGTGGCTGATATAAGAAAGCATTGATACGATTTTGACTTTGGCGGTAGATATTTTGAAATTTTATTCATATCCAATGTGTAGCCAAGAGAATACAAAATATCAGCTTCATCAACTATAAACATTTCTGTTTTTGATATGTTTAAGTGATTTTCTTTCAAATGTTCGAGTAATTTGGTTGGTGTAGCTATGATTATATCTGGTGTTTTATTATGAAATAACGATAACGTTTGTTTTTGAATTGTTGTGGATAATGAATTAGATAAATCGTAAAGATCGATTTCACGACGACAATAAGTCGATAGTTTTACAAATACTTGGGATATTTGATGACATAATTCTTTTGTTGGGGATAGTACCAAAATACGAATGGATTTAATACTTTCAGTTGATGATGATGATGATACCACTGGTGTCGAAAGTAAATGCTGAATAGCAGCTGAAAAAGAAATGCAGAGTTTATCAGAGTGAAGAAGATGAGTTTGTTGTATTCTACGAAACGTTCATACTCTGTTTCATACCAAAGCTAATGAACCTTCAGACATCAGATGTCTATCTAATATACTGTTTTTAATACAAATTTTGTTGTTGCGCTTATGTATATATTCCAAGTTATCTGAAGTATCCAACTAAATATTGCTCTGCAGCATACTACGTACCTAATGCGTATACACCAGTTTTACCAGATCCGGTGCGAGCTTTAACAAGTAAATCTTTACCAATCAATGCATACGGAATTGTTTCAGCTTGAATTGGAGTCGGATTTTCCCATTGTAAATCGGCTATTGACTTTAATAATCGATTATCAAGTCCGAAATCGTAGAATGAACGTGAAACTTCATCGACATCACTGTCATCTTTTGACTCTGAAGGTTGAGAGGCGAAACGAACTGACATCTACAAAATACGACTCGGATAAATGCATTTAACTTGATTCTACGATCTAAGGAACAACAATATCCAGTACTGTCTCAGGACAAAAAGACTTTAATTCGATGTCTAACATAAGATCCAAGTAAAGAGTTAGATTACAATATTTCCTCGTGCTCTAGTCACCAACAAATTAAAAACATAGAATTCGAACGTAATAATAATAACCATTTATTATTTGCGAAAAGTAAGAGTCATCAAAGGTCCACGACAGTGTTTCTAACAGAATTTATCTGCTGAGCGTATGGGTACACTCTGTTTTTTTTCGCAAAGCGTACATGTTCCAAATCTAAAAAGACTCACTAGTTAAAAAAGTTTTTCTTATTTTCTCTTAAATATAAAAAGTTCTATAAGAAAACAAAGCGTACACTGTACGCTCTGCTTTTCTCAGCAAAGCATAAAATAGAGCGTGTTTTTAAATTTCGAAGCGTATGTACGCTTTGCTATTAGAAACACTGGTTTCCAACCTATAATAACAATGACTTGAGCCAAACAGTAAAAGTTGAGATGATGAATAGTAAACAAAACAAGAAATCAGAGAAACAGCGAACGAATATAGGAAAAGTACAAAACGGACAATGTGTAAATACGTCTGTTTTTTCCCAATATTTTTATAATAATCTAAAAGAGTAGCAGTCGTTCTGAGAACCTAAAATGACCAAGTAACTGACAGACCGCTTAGTGGCTGAAGAACTAGCATATATCATTAGTTCACCAGTCCTAAGATAGAAATGCAGACAGATTAACATACAATCCCATCCTTTTTTATAATTACTTTAATATTTTTATATTATTTAAAGTCACAAAAATACCAAATCGAGGCGCAGTTGTAGCAGATGGTCTCCTGTAGATGTCGTCCTTTTGTGAAAATGCCCTAGTAAGATTTTATTATCCCCGAAAAACATTATTGAACAAAAACTAACTTACTTTTTAAAAAGAAGTACATGTATTCGTATAGAGTGATATTTATTTTGAAACGTAAATTATTCTGAAGCTTTAAACCATCATTAAATATAATTAGCAAACTATTTTGCAAATTAGGGGCTATATAGAAACAACTATTTTCAAAGAAACCCTTAAAGTAAGCTTACAAGGAAAGAATAATCCTCGATGTTAAGTAAAAAACACTTGAATCGTGATGAATAGTTTTATCGAACATCTAGAAATATAACATCTAGCAGAAGAGTTGCTCCTATATTTGTGGAAAACTTTTCAATATTGATTAAACAAGATATGTGACTATATCAAACAGTGGCGGATCCAGAATTTTTCTTTGATACGTGCGGTACACGATAAAAATACAAGGTACGTGCGGTCACAATAGAAACAAGTTTTTGTACGTTTCTGAGTTCGTACGGCCACACGTAACCGCGGAATGGCTCGATCCGTCGCTGGTGTTAAATCGCCAAATAGCAAAAATTGAAGGAAAAGTGACTAGTGATCACTATAAACACCTGTAATCGATCGAAAAAATCTAGCTGTGAAAAAATGATGAAAATCTACTTGTGTTCTGCAGTGTATGTAAGATAAGGAGGGAGATATGAACATAAATATAAAGAGTGACACGAAACAAATAAATACAAAATTGTACAAGATATGTGCATAATTGTGCGAAGACAATAACCTAACTGCACAAAGGTAACCACAGTGGAAGCTTAAATTATATAATCATAATATATATATTAAACAAACCCAATTATTTTACTATTATCGCATCTACAGTGCTATTATTTAACGGCAGTTTACATGCTCTTAATCTATAACTGTATAATAAGTCCGAAAGTCTAGCAGTGATTTGCTAGAATTTACCCTTAGGTTTTTTCTTATGCCTGTTAGTTGATCGGTGAGCACTTTTACTCAACATTACGATTGAACGAATATTGACCAATCGATAGCAACGTCATGCAAACCATGGTTGTACTGCTACTACGTATAATTTATGCTCTTCATCGTCCCTGATGTATTTATATAGAAAATAAGAGTGGAATCAAAGCCATCGCCGTCTGTTACGTCGTTGAGACTAATGTATGAATTTATTTCCTGTAGTACTGTGTATTAGTTTCTAAACAGAAAAATAGTAACGGTAAGTGTTAACTAACTAATGTTGTTTGGATTACTATACGGTAGTATCTAACGCTGGAAGTAAAAAATTACAATCAAGGTAAAACTGTGCTGATTACAAACTCTTTACTCTAACGTTTACTCTCGGCACATTACATCCATGTGTTTGTCAATTTCTTCATTTTGTTTATTTATCCCTGATGATTACTTAGTACATTCAGATATGAGTTTTCTATAGGAACAATGTTCCAGAGTACTCCGTGAGTAGTTAAATAGTTTTATTTTTAGTCTGAGATCTAGGTGATACAGAGAACTGCACATTTAAAATGCCTACTAAGTTTGTGTTTAAAGCAGGTGTCCGTAGTTTAATTCAATATTAATGCTATACAAATATTTTCTTTTCAAGATCCAATATCTAAAAGTTGCTTCTCCACCTAATAGATAGTCTTCAAACATCACTTGAGTGAAAACATAGATAATTTAGAATATGACAAAAGGAACTGTTCGACCTTGTAATCGACCTTGTAATATAATCGTTGTACAGAATATAGACACAACAGTAGATTTAATTTTTGCAGTATATTGTAAATCTAAGTTCATGTATTCCAATCTCTGTTCGTACAAAAATGATTTTGTTTTTTTTTCAATAGTTTTAGTTTAAAATACTATAATGGAATTTTTTCCGCTTGTATTCTGAAGGAATAAAGCTTATATCTACTGTTCGATCAGTTTTTGTACGACAAAACATAAATTTGTTTGAACATATAGTGTTCGTTTGTTTTGTATCACAGATATTCTTTACTCGGCACACACTATTATCTTTTGTTTGATAGGGATAAAATTCTCAATTGCCGGAGTTTCTAGATCTTTTTTCATGATTTTGTCTTTTCTTCCGATGCTTTTCTCTCCTACACTTTATAGGAGGTATCCTCTCAGGTCCAAAACAATTAACATTTTGTAGGACATAAATGGCCTGCTAACTACATGGCTAACAGCAGAGTTTCAACAGGCTTTTAATTCTCAAAAAATGTTGAGTTAACAGTCGCCATTTATTGTCTTTCATCTGATCTTTAATGATAGCCTAAAAAGAAGCAATTAATTGTGTGTTAGTAAGCCTCAGATTTAAATAATCATTAAATGGTTATATTCTCCGTTTTATAACTGTTATATAAACGGACATTTAATGTTTGCCGTTTACTTCACCCTTTTGTGTCGCTGACCTCACTACTATATATCTAACGCTGTCTTCTCATAGAAAACATAGACTTTTGTTCTTCCTCGACTATATAAGTCATCAAAACTTGTGTTGAGGAAGTAGCTACTGGCTCTACGTATGGTGCCATGTCATACATAGGGAACCGAAAATATTGAAAAGTTATTTATTCCATAATAGTGGTCAAAAAGAAGTTAGTCATGATCAGCAGTCGAATCCTTGGTCATAAACAGCTAATAATTACGCAAAAATCGCTCTTAAACGGTCACTGTTAAATGCTCGTTTTTAGCCTATTTCTTGGCCGTTAACAAAATGCCATTTTTAGGCATTAATACGTTCCCTAGTTATAAGACCGAAAAATGCTCAAAAAACGATGTTAACTAGCTTAAAAATGTCATTTAAGATCCATTCTGAGATTGTTGATAGACAATAAATTACATCGTTTTCAACGTCCTGGGCTCATCTCCATTGCGCTAATTATGAAAAACTAAGTGTATATGATGTACGGTATGACTGTTTTTTACCGGTAACAGCTACAAATCAATAGATAACTCTGTTACAACTATGAAAGAAGTTCCGTAGTTATGGTTCCCCATCACCAACATTTTCCATAATGTACACATGAATGATTAAAGTATTTGAATACATATTTACTGATTAGATCAACAAACATATTCAATAATTGTTCCGACATTTGAATCAATATCAGAGTTACATAGAACGCCATTGTTAGCCATTTTCCTTATACTTTTTTAGCACCTTTTTATTGCTAATCAAATTCATATTTAGATCTGTTTCTTACTTAGCTATAACTTTTTTCTATGAAAACTTTGTTATACTTTTCTTCGGTACATTTACTGCAAAAGAATAAAATATCCATTGGAAAGACAAAAGTAAAGGTAGAAGTGTGCTGAAAAGGAAATTTGGAACTACCCATGGCGTCGAAAATGGTGTAACTGATTGTCTATTAAATGCCAGTTAATAGCTGGTGAAATAGTCATTAAATGGTCATTTTTGCACCTTATAAATGGGAACGTTTTAATGCCTTAAGATGACATTTTTTAACAGGCTGCAAACTGTCCGAAAATAGGCAGTTAATCGAATCATGTAATGGCCGTTTTTGCAACCACTACTGGCTGTTAACGGTCAACTATCGAACGTTTTCTTTG